CATTACACCTTTTAGAACATTGATCTCAGCTTGGGGAGTTATTGGTTGATGCTTATTCAATCACTGATGATAGCCCTCATTAATTGACAATGAGAATTTTATTCTACAAGACTAACACATTTTACTTTACCCTCTTAAAAGAGAAATATCTTAAGAGAATTTATTTTTTATACCTCATCATGCTCCAGGAATTAGAATTAATTCAGGTGTGTCAAAGTGTTTCCCTCTTTGTAGGTGCAACCGACAAGTGCCACACCTCCTACTTCAGCTCCAACATCAACAGCACCTCATGCTCCTGCTCCTGCTGCGGTGTGAGTTTTAGTTCACCTACCTTAATAATGTGCACTATGGTGTCTCAATACACTAAGCTCCGTCCGTTTAACTCTTTGTCGGTGCATGGAATAATTGTTTATTTTAATATGTTCCCTTCATTATTTTTATACCAAAAAAACTCCACCTCTTCCATGATATCTAACTAGGATATATGAATCCAAGCACTGCTCTGTAATATTACCTCGGTTCAACCAAAAAATCACAAATGATTTAGAAATTACCAAACTGGGCCGAAACACACCATGAAACAGAATCAACACTAAATGTTTTTGTAGAAGGCTCCTTGTTAGGCTAAAGTCTAAACACCTTCAAATACACTTAAGCACGAGCAACAAAATCGACTACCCCATACCTTTCTCGAATGGGTCTGTCCCTAGCAATTGAATAAGATGGCATCGAAGGTGAATGTAGCAAAGTGACATTACTCATATCCTTTGAACTCGACTGAGCTATGTTCTTCAACACGGACCTCAAACCAAATCTCGATGGTATTGTACCAAAATGAATATCCACCACAGTACTAAACATTTGCTGATTGATCTTCAACTATTTTGCACGATCTTACAAGATGTATAACTGTAACTTTTTTCACCCCTCCAATACAATTTGAATCAAGAGTAGCCAACAAGATGAGATTTTTCTTCAAATTTGAAAAATTTCGAACATGATCAAGTGTTCTAAATGTTTCATCCAACAGCTGACTCTACTAATACTTGTTATCCAATAAGGTGCGTTATTTCACATGACTACGATACCGTTTGA